CAAAAAGCGAGGACAGCCATATTTATAATTGGCCGAATATCATTCAACCTTAAAAAATGTAATTAAAGACAGAAATGAAAAATATTGTTTAAGGGAACAATAGATTAAGAACTACTGTTTTTTTTTCATTAAAAAAATTTTTTTTATTAGTGAAACACCATGAGGTACAGTTGTAGATTTACAATTTTTTGTGCTTGGGCTTGATTATACAATGATCAGATACCCATCCCTCCACCAGTGTCCATTTTCCACCACCATGGATAATATCCCCCCACCCCCATCCCCCCATCCCCCCCTGCCTCTGTGGCAGGGCAATCCCCTGTGTTCTCTCTCTCCTTTTGGGTGTTGTGGTCTGCAAAAGAGGCATTGAGTGGCAAACATGTTCAGTCCATAGTCTACTTTCGACATGCATCTCCCCTCCTGGGAGGATCCTCCAAACACCCTTTATTTGGTGTTCCCTTCTCTATCTGAGCTGCCCTTTCCTCTAGAATGCCCGACTGGCCACTAAGCTGTGGAGTAATCCTCCTGGTGCTGATCTCAGCTATTTTTGGATATTAATCTCATACTTTGTTACTTTATATCCCCCAGATGAATGCAATCTTTCTATGTCTATCCCTCTCTTTCTGACTCATTTCGCTTAGCATGATACTTTCCATGTTGTACCACTTGTATGTAAATTTCATGACTTCATCTTTTCTAACAGCTACATAGTACTCCATTGTGTAGATGTACCAAAGTTTCTTTAACCAGTCATCTGTTCTTGGGCATTCAGGTTTCTTCCAGTTTCTGGCTATTGTAAAGAGTGCTGCAATGAACAAACAAGTGCAGATGTCACTTCGACTATAGATTTTTGCCTCTCTGGGATATATTCCCAGGAGTGGTATTATTGCTGGGTCAAATGGGAGCTCAATTTCTAATTTTTGGAGAATCGTCCATACTGTTTTTCCAGAAGGGCTGAACCAGTCGACATTTCCACCAACAGTGAAGGAGTGTCCCTTTCTCGCCACATCTGTGCCAGCATCGGTTGCTTTTGAAGAACTACTGTTTTTAACATATATGCAACCAACAAATATGCACCAAATTTTACAAAGCTTCTTCTCATAGACAATACATTGAGAGAAATACAAGACACATTGAGACAAATACAATTGTAGTGGGAGACTTTAACACTCCACTTTCCCCACTAGAGAGATTAACCAGACAGAATATCAGTTAATAGACAAATGCCTTAAATAAGGAGTTAGAAGAACTTGGATTAGTGAATATACACAGGGATCTCCACCTCAAAAAGCCAAATACACACCCTTCTCTAATTATTATGAACCATTCTCTTGGATAGATTACTTACTAGGGCATAATTCAAATATACATAAATTTATAAATATAGAAATAATACCAAGCTCCCTCTGAGGGCAATGAAAGGAGAATTAAACATAAAAATAATATGAGAAAAAACCTCTAACACTTGGAAGCTAAAATGCTAAATAACAACTATGTCAAAAGAGGAAATCAAGGAAGAAATAGAAAGATTGCTTGAGACTACTGAGAATGAAAAAATAAATTATCAGAATCTCTGGGACACAGCAAAAGTTGTAATAAGGGGGGAATTCATAGCAATACTGGCCTGAAGAACAACCTAAATGTATATTTAAACAACTGGAGAAGTAACAACAAATGAAGCCCAAAAGTAGTAGAAAGAAGGAAATTATAAAAGCTAGAGTGGAAATCAATAACATAGAAATTAAGAAAGCAATACAAAGAGTTGATGGAAAGCAGGAACCAGTTCCTTGAAAGAATAAACAAGATAAACTGTTAGCTAACCTCATAAGGAAAAAAAACCCAAAATATTCACATAAATCAAATTTTATTTGATTTTTGAGACCCCTCAAAAATTCAAGATATTGTGAAAAATTGCTATGATCAACGTTATACTGTTAAGTTGGAGAAGGAGAACCTAGAAGAAATGAACAGATTCTTATAACTATGTGCTCTCCAAAAACTGAGTGAGGAGGAAGTAGAAAACCTGTACAGAGAAGCTTACATACATCAGTGCATCAAGACAGAAGCTTGGAAAGAGTTACTAATACAACAGAGCCATGCAAGCTAACTGAAGAAGACTTCAAAACTACAGTCCTATGATGTTCATCAAAACAATGGTATTAATAAAAGAGAACTTCAACAAAGACAGAGAAAGTATAAAATAAAGATTGGAGAAAGTCTAGGTAGAAATTATAAAACACTGTAGTTGAACTAAAAAAACAATACAAACGAGGAACTCAAGAGTAGAATTGGTAATGAACATGAATCAGTGAGCATAGAGCAAAAGTATCGGAAACTACAAAAGCCAGTGAAAACATAAAATAATAACAAAATATTACATCAGCATAAACCTATATGGAAAACATTAAGAGGAATAAAATTTGTCATAAAAGTTGCAGAGAGAGGAAGAATTTTTATTCAAAAACTTCCCCAAACTCATGGAGTTAGATACCCAGATTCAGGAAGTGCAGAGTTCCAAACAAATTAAATACAAACATTGGGGCTGGAGAGATAGCACAGTGGGTAGAGCGTTTGCCTTGCATGTGGCCGACCTGGGTTCGATTCCCAGCATCCCATATGGTCGGTCCCCTGAGCACCGCCAGGACTAACTCCTGAGTGCAGAGCCAGGAGTGACCCCTGTGCATCGCCAGGCGTGACCCAAAAAGCAAAAAAATAAAAAAAAATAAATACAAACACATGCACAACAACACACATTACTGGTTCTAGGAGAATTACAGGGTTATGTTCCTGAAAGCCTCAGGTCTCAACATTGCCATCAATCAATCAGTATGAAACTGAAATATTTCATCTGTGTTCGTACTTCAGGACACCTATTGAATGTATACTGTCAGTTTGTTAACATTAATATATTAATGTAACTCATGCCCATGATAAACTGATCCAAATTAAGTCTTTCTCTCTGTAAGACACATCAGCCTGTGCCTTGCAATACTAGACAGCACTTCAGCACGATTGTGGGGGTCATTTTAGACACCAATATTATGTCACCAATCAAATAATCACAGAAATTTAAAAATCATGGCATTGAATAGACCAGCAAAAGTACAGTTTATAGTGTGGGAGATGAACCCAGGCAGCAGGCACCCTAAAGAGTGGAACAGTTTTCAATGCTCCAAGTAGCCAGGTTACTTCAGCTGCATACGCCTTACAAAAGGAATGGGCTCAATGCACTGCTCCTTAATATTCTTCCTGATGCATTGTTGCACCAAGGGGTGGAGTACAGTATAATGCACTGATTTGTGGATTACAAGTAAATTTTAATGGCTAAGTAAATTCCCACAGACAGAAACCACAAATGATGAGAATTAGCTGAATTTGTAAAATTGACTTGGACATACCTATCTCACACAAACCACTTCTAGGTTGCTGGTACTTGGGATTCTGCACTGTGCAGTTGAGAAATTTTTATGAAAAATAATTTTAACACAAACTTAATTCACATACATACCTTTATCAGGTGTCTTAGACAAAGGCCACTTAGGGGATTTGGGAGGTAAGGGTCTTCGAAGAAGTCGTACTTTGCATTCCATTTTAATTAACACTAAGTACTGTTTTCACAACTATTGGTTAAATGAGAATTAAAACTTTTTTGAATGCTTGATTTGTTGCTGAAACATTGTTCATTAGAATTTTTGTTACATGTTAATGAAAATCATTCTATGTTACTACTGTACTGAATCCAAGCAGAATTCCTACAATAATAATAATAAAGGGGGTAAGTAAATAATTCTCTAAAACTTCTAGAATCAAGATAAAATTTAGGTCCTTAATACAGAATTAAAAAAATATTATCAATCAGTACCGTTCTAAAGAGAGAACTCACTCTGCTGGTACAATCTTACCCAATAAATACTCATTTTTCTAAAAAATTAGAAAAAAAACACCACCTTTCTCTAAAACGTTAATATTATAAATTTGGAAAGAACTGAATTTGAAAAAAAAGATTTGGAGATCCACTTTATCTAATGGTTCCAAAGTAATTTTTTTTGTGATGACTTTCCTTCACTATAGATGACCCATTAACTGTTTAAATCCCAAATAAGATAATCTTTGATACAGTGATATTCTGAGCTCGCTGTCCTGGTGGAGGGATGGGTACTCGATCATTGTATAACTGAAACCCAAACAGGAAAGCTTGTAAGTCTACAACTGTACCTCGTGGTGTTTCACTAATAAAAAAAAAAGAAAGAAAGAAAAAAGAAATGATGTCAGCAGAACCAAAAACTGTGCGCTCAGAGCACAAGGCGGCATCAGAGTGCCTGGCAGCGTCCTATTCAGTTGACAGCCAACAAGGAAACCCCCCAAGTTACATAAATCGACCGTCTTATCTCCAGCAGACAAATTTGCGTAGAAGCGCTCCACGTATGCTCCCGGGCAGTAAGTACCACCCACCCAACACCAGTAACTTTCCTTCCGTGCGGTCAGAAGATACGGCCGGGAATGTTCCACACTATCCTAATAGGCTAATCAGCAGCTTTCTTTAGGGCAATCTTGCTGCTTCTCAAAACAACCAGATTTTTCGCCTTCCATCTCCTTTCGTGGAGATTTCCTCGGAATGTAGGCAGGGAAGTAACGGTCAATCAAAAGCGTCTACTTAGGGCCCCTCAGGAAGCCTTACTGGAATTAAGCAGCAGGTCAATCTCACCCCCAACATGTGTCCAGGGACCTGTCTCCCGCCCTGCCCGCCAATCCTCAGGAGCTGGAGGGCAGGTGGGTTAGCTCCGGTGAAGGGGCGGGGGGCCCGCGCGGAGCGCGAGGAAGGCGGAGCGAGGAGGGCGCGGGCACGAGGAGGGCGGGGCTTCGGTGGGCGGGTATTCGGGGCCCACGGTCACTGGGGGGCGGGGCCTAACGGGACGCAGGGGCGGGGCTATGCGTGTGCCCGCCCACCCGCACGGACCCGCCCCGCCCCATCCCTCTGGGTTTGTTGCGGTCGCGGTGTAGGGCTGGCTGCAGGGGAGGCTGCAACTGTGAGCGTTGGAGGAGAAGCCGCTCCACGTGCAGCTGCTGTATGGAACCCCGTGGTGACAATCATTATTCCTACTTTTATTCTTAATGCTAATAGCCACATTAATTAGTTTCTTATATGGGTTGTATGATGCTTGACTCCTAGATCTAGGGTCTGGGTTGGTATTCTTTAATAATGATGCCCTTCTGCGCAACCCGGGCCCCGTTGCTCATTTTGCTCTATGTCCGAAATGCAAACAGTATGTTTGTTTTTTTCGCTGCCTTGAATGTTACCTGTTTTGCCTTTCTGATCTTCACAAGTTTCTGGTGAAGATGAGCTGTGTAGGAGTAGAGGCTTTAAGGACCCAGACGGACTTTCAAAGACACCTGTATTTCATGGTCATAGTAGTTCGTTGTGACTTACGTTGTGACTTTTACGGTGTTGGTGAACCTATTCTACAGCGGTGACACGTGGTGTGTGTTTACATACGTGCATGTTTCTTTGTAAATTGGAGCGAGAAGAAGACAGTACAAGAGTATGTAAGAGAACTTAGGTAAAATGTGTAAAGCTCGATTCAGAAAAAGTCGATGGAGCTTTTTTCCCAGTCCTGTACTTTGTTTTTATGGTTTTTGCTTGTTTTAAGGGTTATGGATATAGGTAGGAACTATGGTAACAGGTGCTGTAAGATGAAAGGCATCTAACTTTGGGGATTTTAAAAGATGTACTTTCTAACGAACATTTTTTTAAACACTCTCATTAAAAACAGAGAAAAGAAATTTCCATTGCATTCTAGGAAATAGTGTACTAGCACATGTTTTATTTTTTGTGTATGACTTACTGGTTCCAGCTAGACTGCCTCCTCAGACCTGAATTTATTACACTATTGTTTGTCTACTTCCTATAGTCATTAGCAGCTCTGAAACATGAGAAAGTTGACAGTGGATGATACATATGATGGCTAAGTTTTGTCTCTAGAAATATTTGTTGTGCACATTTGTAAATGTGAAAAATGCCTTATTTTCAACACAAGGCATTTGTTTCAACATATAAGCTGAATCAGTTTCCTTAGCTCTTAAAAACTCCTTTGAACTGTGAAAACTACTTAGATCCATTTTACTGACTAATATTTGACCTTTCAAATTTATGCTTAGTATTTCATAATCAAAATCAAGACAATGCACTTTTCAATGTTCTTAAAAATGCTTTATCATGAAAAGAATTAGACAGCAGGCTTAATTATCAGTAGATTTCATCTAGCATCTATCGGGTAGAACCTAGGACTGTTTAATATGCAACATACTTAAGTGTGTATTATATTATGTCCTCTACTACTTACTCTTTCTATATTTAGGACCAAGCATTTAAGCAAAGGATAGTTATGAAAATTAAAACTGTGAGTTGATTTTTTATAGGTCTATAGCAATTATTCTTCCACATCTTCTCTGCTTCACTTATGGAAATAACGTACAAGTGTAGACTGGCTAGAAACCACGTTTGCTCTGGATTTTTTTAGTTATTTAAAGCATTTTTTAATTTATACTATTTAAATTTCCTTTCTCAATTAAAAAAATTAATGATGTCTCTTTAGGTAAGGAATCTCCATCTTTGGTTTTCAGAGTCTGTGTCACCTAACTCTGCTGTCATCAAACACTTTTGCTCCCTCCACTGTGCAGTTGGCAGAACCTTGTGAAGAAACTGGTCAAAGAGAACCACAAAGCATCTGTTCTGTTGGCTGGTTGTATTAAGAAAGCCAGGGGTTATGGTGAACTCCAAGATTATATGCATGTTGTGTGTTTCTGTGTGTATGCTTAAAGTTGATTTAAAAAAAAAAACCCTTATAATAAAAAAACCTTACGCATGTTGAGGGCACTATTACTTTGCCTAATGAATGCCTTAACAGAATCTCAGATTTGTTAAGATTGGCGATAGAAGAGGATTGTTGGAATGGTCTAGAAATTTTTGCCACAAATCTCCACTATTTCGCATATTTCCTTCTCTCATTTATTCATTTTGAAACCACACTTTTACTGAACAACCGGGTTAGTATAGGTTTAATTTAATGGTTTCCCTTATGCAAATAACAAGTAGCATGTGTTTTACGCTCATATTAATTTATAGAAATTCTTATGAAAGAAGAGTAACTGTGAATCCTGCTTAGGAGATCCCCCTTCACTCCCACTATGGGAGACTTCCTGTACTTTCCCTTTTTTTTCCCCCTTCTCTGAAAAATATCTACCTCTGAATCTGGCCAAAGGGTTGGAGAGATAGTATAGGGTTTAAGGTGCTTGCTATGCCCCTGACCCAACTCTTGTTTGATCCCTGGTACCATATATGGTCCTTCGAGCACCACAAGCTGCGATTCCTTTGCACAACTAGGAGTAACACTTAAGTACTGACAGGAGTGGTGGCCTTTAAAAAACAATAAAATAAAATAGGAATACCTGGAAATAGGGAGAAAGACAAAAGGGAGGCCATATGCCATACTTGTACAAGGTCCTGAGTTCTATTCCTATCTCCATATGGCTCCTTGAGCACCTGGTGAACAACTGTAATCCCCACCCCACCTTCCCTCGCCAGCACCACTGATCTCCTAGTCCAACAAGATGGGATGTCAGATACAACCTCTGTGACTCCTGAATCCTTCAGGCCCTCACTGCTGGGCTTTGCAGGGAGGGGCCACTATTTTTTTTAAATGTTCCTTTTGTGCATATGTTGGGTAAACTTTTGAGTCCCCAGAGTAACCAAGGGCACTAAAATGCTTTTGAAAAAGAGGTATTTTTTATTTATTTATTTTTTCGGCATTAATTTACCTGATCATTTTAGCACGTACTTGAGAAGAAGGTGGGGCTGTGCTAAGCAACACACACAAAAAAATACTATTACTAAATATGTAATAATACGTATACTTGGAATTATTTGTTCTTTACCATATATGCTTTTCATTAGTTTTAGGTGTTTTTAGGTGTTTTAGGTGTTTTTTTTTTTGGAGGGCATCCCAAATAGTGCTCAGGAGACCCAAGTATTCCTCCCAGTAATTCTTGGCCAACTGGCCCTATAGTGAAATGCAAGGGTCAGTGCTGTGAAGATCAGGGCCGTTGTGTAAGGGAACCACATGGGTAGAATTTTAAACCAGAGGGAACATGTGCAATGCTTGTGCCTTAACCCCTAGACTAACTCTCTGGGCCCTGTTTTATGGGTTTTATGCTACTATATAGAAAACATTTTCTTAAATGTTAATTAAAAAGTAAGATATATTACAAGAGAATGTTCTTGCCTTACACACAGCCAACCAAGGTTCAACCACTGGCACTGCATATTGCCCGCTGAGCACTGCCAGAAGTGATTCCTGAGCATAGAGCCAGGAATAAACCCTCAGCAGAGTTGAATGTGACCCCAAAACAACACTAAAAAGTCTAGGAAGTTGCTCGTCTTCTTTCCTCTCTTCTAATTACAAAGACAAAATCTTCGCTTCTATGCTTCTTATCATTTTTTTTGCCAATTACTTTGTAATTTCTTTTTGTCCTTCAGATTGCTGTTTATTTAGTTCTTTTTCTTGAGCTAGAGATTGAGCCCAATCCTTTATAAAAATATCATTACTAATGAGAAAATATCATGCAATCTACATTATAAGAAATTTTTTAGAAGAGAGAACCCCTGAGCACCACTGAATATGGCCCTCAAATAAAATTTTATAAAAAAGTAAAAGAATTACCAAACACAATGAAAAGATAATATCTATTTTTAACTGTAGTCATGAATTCATTAATTTATTCCAGAGTTATTTACTGAAAACCTAATATGCCCAAGGCATTTGCTAGGTGCTAAAGTTAAGCTTTATTAAAATAACTTAGGACTTAGGACTTATAACTTTAGATATTAAAATAAAATTTTTCTCTATAATTTATACTTTTTTATAATCATAACTACTTGATTTCACATTTTTTAACACTTTGTTATGTTACTTTTAAAGCATTTATTCATACTACCCTGATTATCCAGAACCAATTTGCTTTTCTTTAGTTCCAGCTTCTTTTCAATTTGAGGACCATAGCCACCAGTTCTGGGGGTTATTCCAAGCTTTCTGCTTGGGGATAGCACAGCGGTAGGGCATTTGCCTTGCATGCAGCCAACATGGCCGACCCGAGTTCGATTCCTCCGCCCCTCTCGGAGAGCCCGGGAGTATCTCGCCTGCTCGGCAGAGCCTGGCAAGCCACCCGTGATGTATTCGATATGCCAAACACAGTAACAACAAAATCTCCAATGGAGACATTACTGGGCCCGCTCGAGCAAATCGATGAACAACGGGAGGGCCTTTACCTTTACCTCTCTTTACCTTATCTGCTTGGTTGTCACTAGTGGCAGATCTCCAGGGACCTTGTGGTGTTGAGGATCAAACTAAGGTCTCCCACATGCAAAGTAAATGCTCCCGTCCATTGAGCTATTTCTCCAGCATCCCAATGATCATTTTGAACTGTTCTTCTGTACACAGTTGATGTTAGATATCTTGATATCTTGTATGAATGTGCTCTCCCAGCATCATAAAACTTGCTCAGCTGAGTTCAAGTCGTTGGCTTTCACTTATTAGTTCTGTGACATTGAACTAGCTGCCTGACCTTCCTGAACCCTGGTGATTTTCATACCTGTGAAACAGAGACAAAAATGTACCCTACTTAGGGTATTGTCAGGTATTGAACAGGTGACCTGTGTCAAGGACTTAGCTCCCTATAGACTGCAGAATGAGTTTCCCTTAGATGACAGTTGTTAGAAAACAAATGGCCCATGTTACCAATTTTTAATTGTCTCTGTTTCTGTTCACTGAAATATTTAAAGGTATAGAGGGTGAACCCTGGGCACTTATTCATAAGATACCATGGTGAGTTTGCTAATGTCTCCAGAATGTTGGAGAAACCGGTCCATAGCTCTCAGATGGTCCAGCAAATGCTGAGATTTATATGGAATCCTCTGATATATCACCGTTGCTACAGGCTCCCAGCTGCTGAGAGACTGTGGGACAGCTTGCCTTGCACCTGAGAAGTCAAGTACAGTGATAAATAAAGAAAC